ATTTGTAAATCATTGACTAGAATATTAAGTTTAGAGAAAGTCTTACGATGTGAACATTCATATAGACGATTTACAGACGAAGTGGACGAAGAGCAGCTAGAAAGCAGGCTTACGAACAAGATGTGATTGTGAAAAACTCTGTGCCCGGCGAAAACAAAGTTCGAAAGAAGCTATTTTTAGCATTTAGGTCACAGTCAAGGTCATTGACCTTGGAGTCAGTTGAAAGAACTTTATAAGTGAACTTTGCATACTTGTTATGAAATCTTTATCTCTCATAGTTCCAAGGGTATTTTTAAGAACTATATAAGTGGAGTATGAAGTTTCTAATTTTCATGGTTTAAAAGGTTTGGTGAATTTGCAGAAAAAAACTTTTCTTAGCATGAAGGCCACAGTCAAGGTCACAAGGTCATTGACTATGGTGTCATTTACATTAACCTGATTAGTGGAATATGCATGTCAAATATGAAATCTCTATCTTTCATGGTTCAAAAAATTATGGTGAAGATTAAAATTTGCAGAAGAAAGCTATTTTAAGCATATATGCCAGTCAAGGTCATTGACCTTGGTGTAAACCAAATGAACTTGATTAGTGGAGTATGCATACCAAATACGAAGTCATTTTTCATCCTTTTTTTCTTAAATGGTTTATAGAAATACAATACATAGATTAATAACATATCCTCCTGTCTTTTCCTATTTTTTATTATGTAGATGTCATTTGCACTCAATATCAGTTCTTTTTTATAATAAAGCTAATAAATTGTCTTTAATTTATACTACCAAAAATCTAGAGAATTTTAGCGTTCAATATCTTGACGCTTCATTGAGCTAAATTAAAAAAAGGAAAAGGCATCTAGGTAAGAAATAATTTAAATATATCGACAACGTACCATATATACTCGCCTAGAAATCGGTTGCATTTTTTTAGGCTATTTTAAAGGAATTTGTCTCTGTTCCGCTTATAAGTCGGTGCAACTTTTTGCCGAAACGAGTACCAATTTGAAATCAATATAATAATGTTTTTGTCAGTGATCCAAATATTTTTTGGGGAGAGCATACGCCGATACTTAAATATCTTTTTACAAATAAATATCTAATCAATATTCTTTTGTATTCACCTCTGTACAAACATAATTTTGGGACATGATTTTCATTGCTCAATGACAGCTGCATTATTTCAAGTACCTTGATAATTTCGTAGTGTTTTGATTTTAAAGTGATTTCTCTTGTCTCCTTCATGTATATTTTGTACGCCGATTCTCGATAATTTTTCTACCTTCAATCTACCTTTGGTTTTTGAAATAAAACTTTTCTAAAATAATTTTATTCAATACATTCTTTGCCGTTATTGAGAATAAAAGCAATCATAGTTATTAATACAGAGCAAATCAATAAACATAAATTAGTTGTAAGTCAATACGATTAAATACACTAGGGAGTGTCGGGACAGGTGAGCACTAGTTTCATGGAGGGAGATGCTTTTGTAGCACAGAGACTGTCTCAGTTGTGGGGAAATCACTGGACAGAATGTCATCCTCACTACCATTCATATTGTTGCTTATGCCGCACATCTTAAAATAATGGGTCACATTGTCTGTGGAAATAAAAATCCAGGCGTCTTTGATTCATTTCGTCACTATGCACATACTGGGTAGCTTGACGGTTCCTAAGGCGGTGTTTCTTTAGCTTCCCGTTTTCATCCACTCTGTCCAGAATTCTCTCATCTTGGTCTTGTATAGGCATACGTCCACGGTTGAAGTACACTAGTGGCCGGGTATTAGAGCTTTGATGACACTTATTTGTGTTAAAGTTCTTTTCACCTTTTCTGTTAAGTGACCACGGAACAAGAAGACGTTTCTTATTGATCATGGCACCAGGAAAGCTCCAGAAATGATAGGAGAGTCGTGGATTCTGCGTTCTTTAATGACAAATTGAAAGAAGTTCTGGACTTTGATCTCCACGTCGGCAGGCAGTTTCTTGGCCATGTGGGTTCGCTGTCGTAGAGCTTCATGTAGGTCGTGGCGTTTCATGAAGCGACTGCATATTTTAAGAGGAATTGAGGCCACTCGGCCCTATAGCATCTTTCATTATTTTATCTGCAAACCAAGCAGCGTAGGAGAATTACGAAAATGTATGTTTTTTGACCAATGTCAAAGTAATATTAGATTCACCAGATCGTGAAAATATTATAGAACATGCATGTGTATACCCAGTTCGGACAATTAAGAAAAAGTGTTTAAGTGGTTGAAAGATACTTTACGGACCCAATAGGCACAAATGGAAAGGCATATAATTTTTTTGTGAAAGTATTTTTGATGTCTCCAAAATTTATACATTTTTCAAACATTGTCAACTTTTTGAAATGGTTCACAGCAAGACTGATGATTGATGTTTAACGCCAAGTGGGCAGTATTTCAGTCATATTTTGGCGATTAAATTAGGAAAGTACCACATTTAAAATTTTTGGGTTTCTTTTTCGAAAACCAGAGAAGCGATCTTTTACGTGTCAAGGGGGTTGTTATCCTTTACACGGGGCACCATTTAAACGTTTCATCCGACGGACTGGATGAAAAAGTGAAAGAAATAATATCTGAGAATATGAAGAAAAATGGCAATCTCCGAATTTTGGTATGCACAAATACAGCAGGAATAGGGGTTTATTTCTACAACGTGTATCATATTGTCTATTACTAATTACCTAGAAAAATTAGGTCTACTGACTGGGTAATGATATAACAGTCTGACCCAGAGACCCCTGACTGGGTTTGGACTCCTCCCCATGACTTGGTATGTCAGTCATATTTTAAGCATTTTCCTCCGGTGAGATTACAGAAATGGTCTCTGCCACCACCAACACTCGCGGAGTCATCTTGTAATTAAGGTGCCTCATCTGCAGAGACTCTGACTGCAATAATAATGAATATAATGATTATGAATAAAATTTAGTCAAATGCTATGATATCAAAGTGTTCATTTTGAATTTGTTGTTAATCCTACAGAAATCGCACTACAAAGTGATATTTTAATGTTTTTAAAAGACTTATAACGTACTAGCCAAACATTCAAAGCAGGCTCAAGGTCATATTCTTCCATAGGGGAACTTTCGATCTTCACAGTCTTTAGATCATTTAGGGTTGATGGTTTCAGTTTGGTCTGTCTAGAAATCGTTATGAGTTTTTTCTTGAAAAAGTTGTCTTACACTTCACAATATCCATTCCTATAAATGTAGAGTATTTAAGTCAGTTCCAGTAACGAACAGTTTTTACACGGAAACAAAGTTCACTTCCGTATTGTGAAAAAAAGTCCTCCAAGTAATTAATAAGAGTGTCCATCTGTTGGAGGTTGACGCTCGTGGCCTCCTTCAGTTCTTGATGGCGAGGATAGGGGTATGCATTCTCTGCACCATTCTTCTTTTCAGTCTATGACGTCTTCCACAAAATAGTAGGAGAAAGAAGTTTGAGAGGTCGATCCATCAGGAAGAAAAATATGTATGCTTTCTAGATCTGACTACATTCTATCAGTGAACACTTTTAAACTTGCTTTACGAGAATAAGCGATGTGTATTTTCCTTTTGAATTATATATACTGTTTGAATTTAAAAGATTAGTTACTGGTACTAAGATATAGTATGAGAATTTTTTAAGCATATTGTATTGATTGCTCCCTTAGGAGTTAGTTCCGTTAGAATAGAATTCTCTGCGAATGCTTCGTTTTCTTGTTGTTTTTGGAAAAGCACACTTTGATAGTCCATATCTGAGAAGTCAAAGGTTTTGGGAAATATTTATATGTCAGAGATGCTTATTTTCAATAATTTATAGGATTAAGTACATTGAGAAAATATTGATAACATATTAACGAAATATAATACATGTACAGAATTATTTTATGTTTGTCTTTATTAAATTCGTTATTTGATCAATATCCCGAGATTTGCTCAACCAGAATCAAAGTTGTTCAATTCCAACTCGAATTGGAGTTTGTTCCATACTGTTTATAGTTCCGAGACGTTCTTTAGAGACCCGGTTTGTTCTTGTTGTTTTGATGATTATTGGTTGTTGTAGTAATTCACTCAATACAGGATTTTTGTTCTCCATTTTTCCTTGCAATATTCCTAATAATATTAATAATAATAATAAAATTTATTTTAACGTGTTTTCAAGATGTTTCACGCGGACATTAGAAAAATGTCTTTTTTGCTTCAAATTCTTGCTACTTCTTTAAGTGAGTGTTTGGATGGCCTTCTTTGCCCTCTGTATGGTACTCCATTCGCCAAGGTGCTTCTGGTCTTTACGGCCCAATATAATCCCACAAGCGACAAACTTGAACACGAAGCCGGAATGGACCGCCGTCAGGAGTCGTTCACAGTTGCTCAGCTGGGTCAGCCCCCTATTTTCTTCGCAAAGGTATCATCTAGATCTTTGGACCTGTAAAGTGATTCTTAGTCCCTCATTTTCTAATAATTTCCTAAACATCCATAAATGGGCATAATAAATTTGCAAGGGATGATTAACTAAAATTTCTGAAAAAATGAGCTATTTAATAGTCTCTACTAAAGCTACATATATTTGGAAGCAGATCCCATATTACTAGTTGGGTTTACTAATTCCTTTGTAAGACTTTAACAAATTAAATGGGTTTAGAATCGATGTAAAAAGACTAGAATTTGCATCGAGATCCATCATTTCTTATAGTAATGTGTGGATAGATTTCGGTCCACATGAGAGATATATCCTTAAAAGGGGCTTTAAAGATTGATTGCATGATGTTTAAAGTCCCTTTCCAGAATTTATCAAAAAAGCACCCTTTAGATAATTCTAAAAAAAAACTACCCGTCTTCCATTCTCCTCTAGGGTACTCTTCCTCTTCTTCAGCTTCCTCTACAGCTTCAGCTCCTCACTAAAAAGTTTAATGACACCAGTATATGGTAGTATTCTTGAAATAAACAGTTTATTTATTTTTAAGCATTACGATTGGATAAAAGTCACATCAATTCTGCTCCTTTTGCCGACATCACCAGCTGGTGTAATGTATCTCTTTTTTTCTGGTGGAAAAATATCAAGTGGGTATCTAGCATATTATCTATCGCTTTACATACTCTAATTGGGCAGAGTTTCAATTTTTATAGACAGAATAATCATATTAGGGAAATGCAGAAAGGTTAACATCTAAAAACCAACGTTAGTATATGGATTTTGCCATTTAAATCATAATGATTTGCTTACTTGCTGTGGGAGGCTTTGACTTTGGCCTTAGCTGCTTGGTGGTTGTAGCCATGAGCGATAGTGAGGTGCTTTGGTATATGCACCACCTCTATGTAACAGAAAGGACATTCCTTCGTCATTCTTTTCCTAGATGTCTTGTTTTCTTGGGCCCTTCCTAGGTCTTTTGCTTGGTACTTTTTTCTTGTGTTCTGCTTGTAACATACTTATACTGAAAACAAAATAAAGGCAACAGAATTATTAACCCTTAGTCCGGCAAGGCTGATTATTAGGATCAGGCATAGGGTTTAGACTGATCATTGATGTCAAAGTTTTGGGCTAGAAAGCAACAATAGATATTTTGGAAATCGATTTATGCTTCCAGTGTCGTTGAACCCCAAAAATACTACATCTGGGTTTTTTTGTCAGAAATAGTTCAGATGTTTATAGTTTATAAATTATAAACCTGTTCTGTTGTTTTGATTACTTCATCGCAGCGAACTAGAGGAATGGTCAACCTTTTGACTTTCGTACAATCTTAAATACCTCCTCCTCTTAATTAATCCGGTTCGTCATCATTTTCTGCCTCTTCCATTGGTTTTCTTAAAGTCTTCATCTTCTTCATTTTCCTCCACTGCTTTCTGTATCAAAGGGATAAAGAATTTAGGTTTGTTTGATAATTTAATTTGTATGAGTATTTGTGTATAGAAATCTTGTATTTGCCCTTTTCTTGATGTTAATTTACTTTTCGGCTGGTAATTCGCAGCAGTAGGAAAGTGTCCACTTATTTTTCTCATCCGTATCCTCATAAGGTTAGGGTTGTGAGGGTTGACCTCAAACCTCTCGTTTGCTGGTAACAAAATGCAAATTCACATGGTTCCTTCATTATAAATGAGATATATTAAAATCGAACCGTATCAGAATGAAGAATTATGTAAGCATAAGTAACCTGGAAGTCGGGATTGAACGGCACCTTTTCAAAAAATGTATTCAATTCCTCCTGGCTTAGATCTGCCTCTGATCTAATCACCTCCTACAGTACCGACCGGACACAACCTAACACACACCAGAGCGAACCCGGAGCAGACCCCGGGTTCGCTCGGGATCCGCTTCGGGTTCGCTTTTAGAAATTTTGGAACCGCTCCGGGTTCGCTCCGAGTCATAGCTCCACTAAATCAAAAGTTATTGGCAAGGTTGAAGTTTTTTCGGACAAACAGAGAGACAGACGGACAAAGAAACGGACTCGACAAAAACAATATACCCCCGAAACTTCGTTTTCGGGGGCAAAAAAATTGTTTGTATAGTCTGTTCTTAAGTCCAAGTTTGTTTGGTGAAGGTTAAGGTTTTTGCGGACAAACAGAGACAGACAGACGGACTCAACAAAAACTTGATAAACCCGAAACTTCCTTTAAGGGGGCAAAAAATTGTATCATCTGTTCTTAAGTCCAAGTTTGTTTCATGATTCTTTAGCCTGGTTTATTACATTTTGCTATTAGATTTAGCGGTATACCAAAGCACGTACTTCCTTCCGATTATGATGCTGAATTCTGAAACTACACTTTTTACCCTAGGAAACGTGAAACGGGGAACACCAGAATAAAGAAAACTAATGTTCATTGAAAATGAAGTATGAAAATTTAATATGTTGAATGCGTAAAATGACATTAAAATCTTTCTTTTAACAAAATACAAATATGAAAATTAGGTGTGTCATGACCTTGACCCAAGGTCAATTTGAGAAGTTCAAGGTCACTGCTAGAAAAATGTCATAATTCTTGTCCGGTCCATCTTTGTTATGGATAAACTTGGTAGGTTCTCATTTCACACAAAGATTGCCCATGACCCAAGGATGTGTCATGAACTTGACCGAAGGTCATTTGAGGAATTTCAAGGTCACTGGAAGAAAAATTTCATAATTCGTGTCCGGTCCATATCTTTCTTATAGATAAACTTGGGAGGTTCTCATTTCACTCAAAGATTGCCCATGACCAAAGGAAGTTCAAGGTCACTGGAAGGAAGATTTCATAATTCATGTTCGATAAATATCTTTATTATGGAAAAACTTACTTCTGAAAAACCCAGCGGGGGGTTTTTTGTCCCGTTTTGACAGTTCTAGTTTTTCTTTACATAATGAGCTCATCTTTTTTTAAAGAAAGAAAATTAAAACCATTTTCTTTATTCAGAAGATGTGAGGAAAGACTCTGAGCATGTCGTGGACTTAACAAAATCTACTATCCAACTGATAGTCATCCCTAGTTCAGATGCGGGCTCTCCGTCACCAAAAAAAACCACTGTACGATCATCTTCATTCAAGTTGTTGTCTTCAGATAGTGACACTGAGGATATTTTTAGACGAATTACCCCCAGTGTACACAGAAGAAATCTTACAGAAGATTTTGATTTAAAATTCCCTTATGATTGCTTTAAGGATTAAACACTTCCTTATATTTAAAAAGGGTGTACGCCAGGGAGTTCTTGCAAAGAAAACCCTGAAAGAAATGCTTAACTTCAAGGGGCAATTAGCTACTCGTGTCCCCTTAGGTGTCAATATAAATGCTTTGTTTTTTATTGACACAAAGAAATTGGGTCATCATAAAGATGTGCTATTTGATGGATGCGGTGTTTGGAAACAATTAAAAACAAAAGTTCATTACCTTAAGTAGATCTATGACAAAATTGAGGAAGTATAGATGAAAATGGTCCATTGTCTATGGACAAAGGATTAAGATATAAGGTCACAAGGCTATCTTACCGACGTTCAGCCTCACCAGTCACCAGATTTCCACAGAATTGTGATATTTGCATTTAAATAAAAAGATGAAACTAGCCTTGAAATAGTAAGCGCACTTGCATTACAGTATTATTTCGAAAATGAGGAACACAACGCGGTACCTCAGCCACTTCCCTTCAGACGGATGTCTGTCAATCATTGCGATCAGCACCTATACTCCCCATCTTTGAATCACCTCCTGGAAACTCGCTGCCAAGCTGGGGACTCCTAAAACTGTATTGGGTAGACACCGCTTACATCTCACCCCAAAGCTCCTGGCTCAGAGATCTGGCTATGAGTACATTTGATTGCATATGAGATTATATTCATTAACCAGAAGTCTCTGTCGAGACTGAAGCTCTACTAGTTTGAACTTATAGCAAAGGAAGAGAAAGTACTTAAGCAGCTGGGATTTGAAACTTTATAAACAGCATTAAATAGAATAATGATTGTTGATATAATTCAAGTCTCTTTATGTTCTTAGTGTAGTCTACTTGTGTGCCAAGTTATACTGAAATCAGACTAAAACTGTAAAAGGAGCAGCATTTTGAAACAATTTAACAGACATTTCTATTTTTAGTAACCACGGCAACACCGTTCATCAAAATTAAAATTCAACTAGAACTGTCCAATAGGGACAAATACCCCCCGCTGGGTTTTTCAGAGAAGGTGCCAATTCAAAAATGCTTTATGGATCTAAAGATGTTCACAATTTACTTTAAAAAATTTGCAGTGAAATATAATTGCTCATCATGTCTCTTAATGAATGAAACGGAGGTGCAAACAAATGAAACATCAATACTAATACATTGTAATTCCATTGTAACATTTTTTTTAAATTTTTTTCATTTAATTTTTCTTTATTACTGCATTAAAATAAAGTGCCACGCCACAGCATGATAGGCCCGTCAAAAAAATACAATTACAATGTATCTTAAACAGTTAAAAGTGCAGGAAAATCATGTCAACCTTGATTTTAGATTTCAATGATTTTTACACACCTTAAAAAATGTGTTTATCTATCTCCTGTGGTGTAGGCATTAATTATAACAAACATTGCATCATTCATAGATTTCTATACCTTGCCAAATGCCTATCATATTTAAAAATATCAAATTAGTCTTCACAACTTAATCTACACCTAATTAATTTTGGAAATAAAAGACTGGCCATCAAATATAAACTGACCAACAGCTCTTTTTCTAATTCCCGAAGGATACAGATTAGACCATGCTCTGAAGAAATGAAAGAGATTCCTACATTGAACACATTAATTAATCTTTAACTGGATGCTTGTCTACTCATTACTCCCAAAAGATTATTGGATCTGCGCTAACTACCATAAAACATTTTTAAAAGATATAAAACATCAATGATTTTTTTTTTGGAATTAATGTCAGACAGTTAATTGTTAATATGCAATTCATATGGACATGCAGATTCCACCCCTACCACCATAAAATTAATTTTTAAGTTCATAATATTATGTAATATCAAAATAGTTAATATGCAATATCAAATTTGTTTTAATTACTTCTCATCAAATTCATTTTCAAACTTCGGCTACCCAACAAGAGCTAATTTAATCCAACAGGCTTACCCATTTGGCCCAATACTCAAGGGATATAGATAGCACCGATGCTCTTACAGCTACTCCTCACACTAAACTCATTAATTTCTCTCTCTAAATTGTCATGCAATTTTCTGTTATCATTCTTCTTGACCAGTGCTTGATAATTAGACTCATGGGAGTGGTGGAATTTCTCTAACATACATTATATTTGTTATAGATTGCTGTCAAGTATATGCTAAAAAATAAGTATTTTCTTGATTTAACATTTTTCTATTAAGGTTAGTGCAATAATTTTACATTATTCTAAATGTGTAAATGAAGAGAAAAAATTTAATTTTTTTTTTAAAAATTCCACTTAAATTAAAGGTCACATGTACAGTGACCTTGAAATAGGTCGCGACACACCTTTTACCTAAGATGCATAAACTGGCCAAGTTTGATGATTCTAAGTCTTATAGTTTTCTAGTTATGGACGGGACAGGATTTTTCCATATTTGGCAATAACTTTTTAATTATAGGTCAGAGCGACATACTTTTTGTGCGCGACACACCTTCTACCCAAGATGTATCAGATGACAAAGTTTGATAACTCTAGGCCTTATAGTATTAAAGTTATGAGCCGGACACGAGAAAAGCTAACAGACGGACGGACGGACAGCTAGACAGACGGACAGACAGACGGACACGAAGCCTATAACATAATAAAATTTGTCTTAAGACGGGCGTATAAAAATATATTGCAATTATGTGTTATGTCACTCTAAAATGATTGTTGAAAAAAAACCATTATACAAAATCAAATTAATCTTGATATATCAATTTGAAATGCATTTTGAAAATAAAGAACTGGTCATCCAGTAATGAAGTGTTTTGACAGACAATAAATTACAATTAAGAGAATAAGAGAAGAGAGATCTTTAATTCTTAATTGTGCCTTATTCCCTGAAGATTTGATAACACACACACACTTGATAAGAGATATGCCTAAACAACTTCCAACACCAAACTCATTAATTTATCTTTAACTGGATGCATGTCTAGTCATTATTCCCCAGAGACAAATGAAATTACATTATCTTTTGTGCAATGTAAAAACTGTTTTTAACACTTGATGTTTCTTTTTTAGAAAGTTTTTATGAGTAATTTTAAGCTGTAGTTCACGTTTTTGTACAGATATTCTAGATTCTATGTCTCAAACCTTATACATGAGCCCAAAATGAACAAGTCAATTAAAATTTTAAAAAACCTGTAAAATGCAGAAAAATGAACAAAAAGAGTTGAAAATTCCAG